TCTTATTATTATTATTATTAGTCCCTTGGGTTCCTAGTGGAACATAGGGCTTCAGTAGCACGCCTCCAGTGACCTCTGTTCTCTGAGATCTTTTGAACCTGGTTCCACGACAGCCCAGAAGCTCTCATTTCCTCCTCGCACGACCTCCTCCATGTCACCCTCGGACGTCCAACTCGTCGCTTCCCATGGGGATTCCACTCGAGGGCCTGACGCGTGATGTCCTCAGTCGGCCTTCTCAGTGTATGCCCAATCCATCTCCACTTCTTCCTGCATATTTGTTGCGTGATAGGTTCTTGGTTGGTTCGTTCCCAGAGTTCCTTGTTGCTTATTTTTTCTGGCATCTGATCTTCAGCAGCGAGCGTAAGCAGTTGTTGATGAATGTCTGTAGTTTATTGGAAATGCCTTTCGTGACGCGCCAAGTCTCTGAGCCATACAAGAGCACTGACTTGACGTTGGTGTTGAAAATCCGTATCTTGTTCCGCATGCTGAGTGCAGAAGATCTCCACACTGGTTTCAGGCTAATGAATGCCTGTCTTGCTTTTCCGATTCTGACTTTGACGTCCTCGTCCGTCCCGCCTGTAGTTGAAACAGTGCTTCCTAGATAAGTGAAGGAGGTTACTTCCTTCAAGTTTCTACCGTTGACGGTGATTGGAGTTTGTTGTTGTTGTTGATGGTGGTGGTGCGGTATCTTCATCACTTCTGTCTTCTCTATATTCACCTGAAGTCCCGTCTTAGCTGCCTCCTCTGTCAACTTGTTAGTTTTTGCCTGCAGATCTTCAAGTTTATGTGACATTAGGCATAAGTCATCGGCGAAATCCAAGTCTTCTAGGTTCTTTTCCGTCGTCCAGTGTATCCCCCTCTTCTCGCTGCCTACTGTTTGCTGCATGATCCAGTCCACCACAATTAGGAATATCATGGGGGATAGTAGGCAACCTTGTTTCACTCCTGTCTTCACTTCAAAGGCATCACTGAGCTTCCCATTGTGGATTACTTGGCATGTGGCATCTTCATATAGTTGTTGAATGAGGCGGATAAAGGTTTGCGGTACTCCGTAGTATGAAGCAGTTTCCAAATTACTTCTCGGTCGACGCTGTCAAAGGCCTTCTCAAAGTCGATGAAGTTGAGGTATAGAGCTGATTGCCATTCTACGCTCTGTTCTATGATGATACGAAGCGTTGCAATTTGGTCAGCACATGATTTGTACTTCCTGAAGCCTGCCTGTTCCGGTCGCAGTTTTGAATCCAGTGCGTCTTTAAGCCTCTCCAGGATGATGCGGCTTAATATTTTACTTGGGGTGGATAGGAGAGTGATTCCTCGCCAGTTCTTGCAAGCACTGAGGTCTCCCTTCTTCGGCAGTTTGACAAGGTAACCCTTCTTCCAATCGTCAGGTACCTTCTCTTCCCTCCACACCTTCTGCAATAGTGGTGTGAGCATGTCCGCTGTTGTCTCTGCATCTGTTCTCAGTGCTTCTGGCGGTATTCCATCTGGTCCTGCTGCTTTCCCGCATTTCAGTAGCTTTATGGCGTTCAGGACTTCCATTTTCGTTGGGGGATTTATGTTCACTTGTAATTCAGCGGCTGCAGGTGGTATTTCTGGACGAAGTGCAGGTGGTGGTCGATTCAAGAGCTTCTTGAAGTGGTCGGCCCATCGTTTCCTCTGTTTCTCTTCTTTTGTAATTAAATTTCCTTCTTCATCTTTTATTGGTTTCATCTGTGTTGGTCTCTTCCCTGATAGCAACCTGGTTATTTGATACAATGTCGTCAGGTCTCTCTTACCTGCAGCCTGTTCTGCTTCACTTGCCAGTGTGTCGTAGAAGTGTCGTTTGTCTTTGCGTGCACTCTTCTTCACTTCTTTATCCAGTGTTTTATACATTGTGCTCAGTTCCTCTTGTCGTTGAGCATCCTTGCACTGGTTTATCTCTGCTTCACCATCCTCCTCTCCTCTATCAGCTTCCAGGTATCCGTCGAGATCCATTCCTTGTCTTCTTTCTTCTTCCTTCCTAATACTGTTGTGCAGGTTTCTTTCCACATAGCTTTCAAAGACTTCCAGTGTTCTTCTACACAGGTTTCTTCAGGGATGTCCTCGACGTCTCCCATTTTGTCTTGATGGCTGCTTTGAAGATCTCCTTTGTAGTTTCATCCTTCAGTTTCCGAGTGTTGTACTTGAATTGAGGTCTATCACCAGCTTCCTTGAAGGCTTTTAACTTGATTTCGAAGGTTCCTTGCACTAGATAGTGGTCTGAACCTACATCTGCTCCTCTTCTTGACCTTGTGTTAAGTAGACTGCGTCTCCATTTTCTTGAGATTGAGATAAAGTCGATTTGATTTTTAGTGTGTCCATCTGGTGAAATCCATGTCGCTTTGTGGATATCCTTGTGCCTGAACACACTGCCTCCAATCACCAAATCGTTGAATGCACAGAATTCTGCAAACAATTCTCCATTCTCATTCATTTCACCTAGCGCCTCTCGACCCATGGTTAGTTCTCTTCCCGTGTTGTCCCCTCCCAGTTTGGCATTCATGTCGCCCATTAGAATTTTGATATCGCCAACTGACGTCTTGTCCAGTGTTGACTGAAGTTGTCTGTAGAATTCCTCCTTTTTCTCTTGCTCTGCATTATTTGTAGGTGCATAACATTGTATGATTGTGACCTTTCTTCCTTTTGAGTTGAATCTTGCTGACATGATCCTGGAGGAGATTGGTTCCCACTGCATGAGAGCCTTCGATGCTCTTGAGGACATCATGATAGCCACTCCCTCAGTGTGCTCGTGGTTGGCGTCTGGGTGACCGGAGTAGATTATTGATTCTCCCGTTGACAGTTTGGAGAGTCCACTCCATTCCATCTGCTTTCGCAAATCCCAAGCACTTCGATGTTATACCTTCTCATCTCCTTTGCAATCTGGGCTGCCTTACTGGGTTCAAACATCGTGCGGACATTCCATGTCCCCACGTTTACTTTCGCTTTCATCGAGAGAAGACACATCGGCCAATTGGCTTCCCGAAGGCTTTCACCAACTGGCGTCATTTCGCCTCTCCGATTCCAGCGGGGAATAAGTTTGTTTTCATTTTTATATTTTGTTTGTGCTTTGAAGTTTCTTTAGCGGTTAGATTTGTTTTACGGGGTAGGGTTGCTAGCCTATGCCCAACCTTCCCTCTTTACCCGGGCTTAGGACCGGCTAGTAACTAGTAAACTAGTTAACCAGGCGAGGTTCCCTTGAATGTAATGTGTAGAAAAACCTTTTTTTCCATACACTTCATAATAAAACTTAAGATCTCTATTTTCTCGGAGACACTTTTAAATGAAGTTTGGTTCTTCCATCAACTAGTCCGTGGAGTATAATTTCCTAGGTGTTTTGTGAAGTATATTGACTAACTACCTCACGTTTATAGTTGGTATGAAAGAAACTGTTATAGTTTGGCGATTATGTGGTCCATGTGTCTTTTATATGGATAGTCCCTTCATTCATACCATCAACTCTTCTTCTCACATTGAGCTTGTCAAACAAATCACTTGCATGTTTCATGTCATTGAAAACACCAAAGGTGACGTCAAAATACCTGCGGTAATAGGTTCTTCTTTTGATAGCTGAACTCAAACGCGTCTGTTCAAGATAACCCATGAAGATATCTGCTAGGACAGGTCCTAGGAATCTAATAATTCATTAAAATAGGGTTTTATTCCGTTAAAGTTTTTTGTTATATATATTACATAGTGATACAGTGTAGCGTGCTGATGACATTTCGAGGAGTATTTGTTGTTCATAATCGTATCGAGATAATCACACAGCTTTCTGGTCTAGTTTCGACAGTCCTAATATTTTCCATTCTTTAGTTTATTTCGTAACGAAAGTTTCCAAATTCTCGGTATATGTGTTGCAATTTTCTTATTCATGTATAAGGTAGCGACTGTGTATACAAAGCTTCAGTTATCAGTCTGTCTCTTCACCTGCACAAGTTATTCTTTAAAATCATCATACCCTACTGCATGAATGTGTGTGACAGATCTTTCTAGATTTATTATCTTATTTGGATCTACCATTCTACATTTAACCAGGTGTTTACGTTCTGCAAATACGTGATTAACCCCTATCAATTGGCTGGCTTGACCTATTTATTTGATCTCATAGTCATTACACGGAATTCGGTAGGTCAGAGGGTTTCGTTTAAATGGTTCAATAGGACCGTTTACCTCACAACATTTGTCTCTGGATGAGCTTTTGGATTTGAACACCATCGTAATCACGTCCTTATTGAGTATCCTGTGTGGAATTTTCGATCTCTCTTCTTCGAATGCTAAGACTTGTTACTTATCTATTTATACTGCTCATGAGTAGAAGTAGTGAGTAACATAAGAAGTAACTGATTCCTGAAATATCAATATAAAGCCACCATATATATTCTTGTAGGTCATCTAATTATAGTGAATAAGTGTTTGATAAGTTGAAATCTCTAACCACCATCAGAAAAAAAATTTTGATTTTTGATTGAAAGTCTATATACGATTTTTTGACAGTAATGACAGTTGAATAATGACATAAAATTTTTCATAATTGGTTAGTGATAAGAAGTGGCCTAAACTGAAATCAGCATTTTAATTCATCAGCCACCAGGGTAGGAGTTTTGGATTTCAACCTTGGTTTTATGTTACCGTATGGGCAGGAAAAACCTTATTGGATAACTGTGTCCTTCAGCTGACCAATGACCTAATGGTTTTACTTTCTGAGGAAAAATGATGTGGTTTTTGTCAAATAAAGTTATCTTCCTTCGAGCCACAGGACGATCTTTGTCTTCTGATTTTCATGGCTTAGGAAGGCATCAGGGTGGCTGTTTGTATGCAGTCTAAGTATCTCATTGCGTTAGTAGAGTTCTCGTATTATTCTGTCAGTCACTTCAACTCGGACAATTGAGTTAGTTGGTTCTCTGTCTATTTTTCCTTTTCAGACTAATTTTTTATGCGTACAGGAAACCATGAATAATTCAAATTAGACTGTTAAATGAGAAATGATGATAGCTGAGGTGTCAAGAGAAGAAAGTCTTGAAGAATCTGTCCGCAGTGAAGCGTCATCTAGTAAACAAGTAAGTTTCTCGACTGATGATTTGTACTGATTGATTGACTGATTGGTTTGAAAGTAGTTTCTATCATGAAGTGAAAAAGTCGGAGAACCTTTGAAAACGAGAGGCTGTTTCGTCATAGTATAAGACTCTACAGAATACTAGGACGAAAAATCTGTCCAGTACTTCCAGGTTTTCAATGGTTCCCCAACTGATGTCAGTCCGTGAAGAATACTACTTCTAAATTAGAAATCCCCATTCATTTCAAAAATACATTACTGTATAGTGCTCATTAGTAACATGCTTCCAAATGGATATCATGAAGTTCTAACGAGAAGCTGTGACCTGTGGGGTCAACCATTTGGAAGGGAATTGGATACCAACTGAAGACCTTGGGTGATGGTCACTCTATATCGCGAACTGGCAGAAGTTGGAAACTGTGAACCATTGAAAGTGACCCGGTGGCTGAGTGGTTAACGTGTTCACCGTGAAACCTGGAAGTCCTGATTTCGGTCCGTAACCGGGTCGTGTGCGCTTACTGTTGGGGAGTCCCACACTAGGGCAAAACAGCTGTCCACTGCTGTCAGGTTTCTAAAGGTTCCCCAACTGATATCAGTCCGTGACGTATACGACCTCTTAATTAAAAATCCTCATTCATCTCAAAGTTAGATGTTAACTTACCTTGATGATCAAAGTTGCAGTAACGTCTTTTGAATACAAAGATCTGATTCGTGAATATATATGACGATCACTTCTACCTTGTGTAATAGATGAATACGTAAACCATTCGGAAGACTGGATGATGCGTGAGAGATAAGTGCAAAAGCCTTGTTTTTATTTATTTTAAAACCGGTATCTACTTAGTGTGCAAGTACTGAGTTTTTATTCCAGTTATCTGACATTTGATCAACTGTGGTAGTGTGCAGGTATTCTACAATGAACATGTCTAGTTGTACACCCTGTTTCTGTAGCAGCAGTGGAACTGATAAATACATGCAGAACAGGCAAGATTAGGAGGTCTTTAGTTGCACTGTGTGCCACATAATTGGTAGACTGTAGAAGACAGGACATAACTTTGCAGTGTTGGCTGAAGTGTTCTACTTTAACGTTATGTTTCAGTCTTGCTGATGACGTCACTTTTGATCCAAAGTTTTACGAAAATAACTTTATTAGGAACTTTATTCACCCTTGGTTTAGCTCCCATCCAATTCATATGCTTAGTCATGAATTTAACAAGATATTCTGTCTTGCTAACCAGATAATGTATGAAGTCAAGCTTTCTCAACATAGAATGATCTGAACAAATGACTTTTGCACAAGTTTCATTTTTATCTGAGTGGTATTCAGCTACAGTAGTTAGCTCTAAATGGTATCACCCTTGTACTGCAAAGTTGTAAGTAGTGACTGTTTTCAAAACTGGCTGTATCTTTACTTAAACAACTATATTCCCCATATTTCCCTTGATGAACTTATCGAGATAGCAATTTTATGTTACTTGAATGGAAGCAATCGGCAGGAATCCCTAGACCTAGGTTTCGTGGTTGTTGGTACTCATCAACAAGGCGTATCTGCAACCCCGACAAAACTTGTGTCTTGCCTGGTGTTCGGACTCCTGTCACCCAGTGTTGCAGTCATCGTGGTTACCACTGAGCTATTCAGACCACGAGTGAATCCCTGTACGACTGGAAGGCAGCGAACTTCGCGTTGTCTAATCCTCATGATGAATCAGCGTATGTAATCCATTTTATCTTAGTGCACTTCATTATCTAGCGTCATCAGAAAACATTTCGATAGACTAAATCAATGTGCATATATAGGTTCAATTGGTATTATGGAACAAGTTGCAGTGGACGTACTATTAGAAGTGTTTGTAAACATGTAAAGTAACACCGATCACTATGGTTATATAAAAGTGAAGTGGAAACCATTACTAGTTCCACACCAGTACACTTAGTTAAGAGCGGTCAAATGGTTGTTATTAAGATATCTTTCTTAATTGTCTTGTTTGCTGTACACACTGTTCTATGCGTAAGGAAATTGAAATCAGATTACCACCAAACTAAACTACCAATGATACGTGCTCATTTGATTATATGCGTTTTATTATGCTGACATAAATAATTTATGTACACCTAGACACGATTTATGTTTACTTGTCTCTCATGCTAACTTCTACTTATTTTACTGCTTTTGTGATTTTACTGATCAACCTACCTTTTGATAAACTTGTAAAATCTATAAAAGTTCACTAATATGCTTTGGTAAAGAGCCTGTAGTGAATTTCTTGATTTTCAAATCATTTCATCAATTGTTATTTCAAACTCACTGCAATATCGTCTAACTTTGGGTATCTAAAAGCACGAACAAAGTTTGATGTCAATATTATCATTTCCTTTTAATCTTTCATTCAAATCCTTGAATTAGAATTGCTTCTACTCCAGGCCAGTACAAATATTAGCTTTACAATTAGTCTGCATCACTACCTTATCTACCAATACCGAGTGAAGTGGTTGAGTGCAATGACTACTCCACTTACTTGAGAAGTCGGATCATCTCTGGAGAGCAGTTGACCAACGCGATCTCAGTACACATACAGAAGATTCGATTTGCTTCCCGTCAACTTAGGGCATCTATGATATTAGAGAAATATCAAACTGACTACAAGTAATTGAATGTAGTGCAAAGCAGTTTGCTCCATCCCACTGACTGTTAAAAAGTGGTCGTTAAAGACAGAAGACATAAGAAGCTTCAGATGTTTGACCACTGTTACTTACGTAGAATAAGCTACTTGTCGCGGTAAAACTACTTTAGTAACGTTGAAATCAGGTGTAGAGTCTTAAGCACAAGAGGTGATTCAGTTGATGACGTCTATGAATCCTCAACGAATCGCATGAGAGGGACATGTGTTGTGCATGCATACATCGATATACAATATTCGCTGACGTATGTTTAGGCTGAGAATGGCCTAAGGCGGTCAGATTAAGACATGACGTCAGTGCATGAAGTCTGTGACTATTCGTTTGAGCTGTACAGTGCAATGCAGACATGCTGACTGGGGTTCAAAGGAAGACGAAAATCGGTGGTTGCTGACAGTATGTAATATGGCTAAGAATCGATCTGAGTGTAACAGATAAACTCGCGCATTATCTTCATCTGATTTGCGTTGTGGTAACTGGGAGCGTTAAGCAATAATGTCAGGCTCCATGTTATTGCTGACCGATTGTTTAAACATAATTGCTTTGAGTGACTTTCAGGCTTTTTAAACTGTTGTCGAAGAGTCCCACTTTCCGAAGTTATATTAAACAGTAACCATACTGAAAGTAATTGAATTATACAAATATCATCTTTTACTGCATACTTTTCAGAATTCAGATGAAGGAGATGACCGTTACTTAAAGAAATTTCTTGATGATTTTTGGGGTCCAGAGACAGCTGATTACTTTCTCCATCCAAATTTTCAAAAATCCTCCAGTGTTAAACCAAAAGACAAAGAATCAACAAGTGATAAGGAAACTGCTCAGTGTATTATACTTGGTGGTTATCCAAATGGAATGCTTCGTGGTGCACGTATACCGTTCCGTTCAGATCTTAAACCATGGTTATTTGATATTCCAACAAATGAAAGACGGAGAGATAAATCAAGTATAAAAAGACGACTTTCGGTTTTTTACAATAATAATCAACATTTCAGACGTGCATCAAGAGCGAAAAGTGCATGTAGTCTTATTGATTTATTGAAATTACATCTGGGTGAGAACTTAGGAGCTCATCATCTTTGGGATTTATTAAGACGTAAATCGTATGAAAAGTTAACTGATTTTGAAAAAAGTCTTACAAAAGAAGATCAGTTTACATTTGCTGCATTCACCCATGAGTATATATCATGTAGGAATAAAAAGTAAGCCAATTGTTTTCACTTGAGATTGGTATATTACTTAAATTTTATTGTAAGTTGCACAACTAATTCATTCAGAAACTGATTTTCTAAATACAACTGTTATCAGTTCATGAAAAATACCACGTTGAAATAAACTAGTCCACAAAAACCTCCAAATTAAAATTATTGTCCAGTGTTCACTGGTAACATGCTTCCAGAGGATATCACTAAGTTCTAATGAGAAGCCGTGGTCTGTGAGGTCAGCCAGTCGAAATGGAAGCGGATACCATCTGAAGACTTTGAATGATAATCATGCTGTCTTGCGAAACGACAGAAATCAGAAATCGTGAAGCACTAAACTGCGACCCAGTGGCAGAATGGTTAACGCCTTCACCGTGAAACCTGAAAGTCCTGATTTCGATCCGTAACCGGGTCTTGGGTGCGTACTGCTGAGGAGTCCCATACTAGACTGAAAGAGCTGCTCAGTATCTCAGCCTTTCAGTGCCTCTCCAAATGATGTCACTTCATGACGGATAGGAAATCATAAAGAAGACAAGTTTACAATATTTTTTCATTAATGGGGATTTACCTGTACTAACCTAACAGAAAAGTGTTTCGGATTATTTTGTTTTTGGTTAGCTAAATTATATACATAGATAATTAGAGTATAAATATCTATTCAGCATGCAACAAATGATGATGCACCTTTAGAAACTGCTTTAAAAACACTAGCAGTGGAGTCAGTTAGATGACTGCATGTACTTCAGTGCTTTTCTGTTGAAAATATAATATAAATATTTGAGTGTAAGTTAATATCGTTGGTGAAATGACTTATCCTTTATTGAATCGGTCTCTGAAAAGTCCCACATGGTTGATTTGTACATATCAAGATATTATGCATAATTAATGAACGGGAGTGTTAGCTAAGAATTAATGTAACAACTTTGACATATGTCACGATTCATGATAAAATTATTCTATTAGTTAATATTGGGTGACGACTGAGGGTGAAACGAAAATTTGGACAGGACCGGGATTGGAACTAGTGGCCACTCGGTCAGCTGTAGGGCTTCGTAGCTCAGTTGGTGAGGCATCGGGCCGGAAATGCGGTGACCACTGGTTCGAACCCGGGCACCGTCCAAATTTTCATTTCAACTTCAGTCATCATCCAGCATTAATACTAGTCTGCCAAACTCTAGGTATTTCAGATAGCCAAAATGAAATTATTTAATAAACACTTGAAAGTTACTTAGTGCCGTGTTGAGATATGCTAATCTAAAAAGTAGTTTGATCAAACACACAAAGCAGGAAGTAATGTGGATCATTGAATTTCAACACAATAGTTGATTGTAGCGCATTCACCGTGAGGCCTGATAATTCTGAGATCTTACATCTCATAGGGGTTGTGTTGCATAGTGCCATGGTATCTTAAACGAGAATAAAACAGCTGTACACTACTCTCAGGTTTTCAACAGTTGTCAACCAGGGACAAAGAGTACTTTAGGAGATTTAAAGTGTTTTGGGGAATTTATTGCTTAAATATCCACATTTTAATATCAATACTTAGGAAGATAGGAAGAACAGCGAGTGAACTATGCAGATACTTATTGTATGCTGACTAATAAAATTATCTATAGTGTATGTGAAATGAGTATGACATGAATTAGAGTAATATACTTCAGGCCATCGGATCATATATCTATACGTCATGTACAATTACATGAACTATAACACAGGATAAATGGGTAAAAAAAATAATCTGTATTAAAGCTGAGTTACCTAAAGAGGTTTAAGACGACAATAAATTGTTTCTGAATACATAAAAAAGGTAGAAACTCTCTCTCATAGCTAGATTTTTAACATACTTAGGAATATAGTTTTCAATCGGTGTTATAAGTAGGTTTGAAAAATGCATACAAATCAACCTTATGATCCGTTGTAATATATTTGGCTATCGACGAAACTAAAAATCTGTTATCTGCGTCAGTGATATCATTCGATTTGATTACATGTTAAAATGTGCTGTTTGGCTCTCACTTGCGTACACCTATGGATCCTTTCTATGTATGTGTGACCACAGGTGTGCTTATGAAATGACAAACGCATTCGGATTTAAATTTATAGTTTAAATTGTAATGAGGGTTTAAAGGAGTAACAAAATCTCTCAGAAATTATAACGATTCCTTAAAAGAAACAATTGGAAATTTCGCTTTTTGATGTTGTCAAATTTTCAAGTGAAGAGAAAAGGAATTAAATAAAACAATTTGCACTTTTAGGTGTTCTTATCATTTGGAGGCATTCAGAAAAATCGGAAACTGAAGTATGCAGAAAACCAAATCATATGGGATCAAATTCACCCTCAACTCTATTGTCAACAATTCAACAATGCACAAAAATAGTTGCGTAAAAACATTGATTAAGGGGACGAAGATATACTGTAAAACATCAGCCTTACGGAGAAAGGAAAAAATTCACTGACTGTCTTTCAAAAGAACAGCTGTCCATGCAACTTGATCAAAAAATGTTTGTCAGATTCACCGTCAATATAAACGTCATACTTGGAAATAGATGGATTGTCTTACTTAACTTGAGATTGGAGCTAGATTACTGAAGCCTTTCGGAATCACTGTAGTTCATAAGTATAAAGAATCTCTTCATTTCACGCTATGCAGCCCAAACATACAGCAGCGAAAAGAGACAAGCACAATGGTATGTAAAAAATAAAATGCAGAAAATGTGGAAAACACTGTATTGAACATAGTGGTCACCCACTTCGAATCCTTCTACATTATTAATTTGCTCATATGAATGCGTGGACACGAATTCGACTGGAAAAATGTGGAAATTCTGGGTAGACAAAATGCAAAGAATGCCAGAGAATTTTTAGAAGCCTGATTCGTATGTCACTAATGGACAAACATTGACAATAACTCAATCTATCAACCAATAAGAAATACCAGTAACATCAATAAGATCAGAGCTCATGTCAGCAGGACAGCCAGTTGAAATATGCCTGGAAATCGTGACATGATCTTAACAGAGTCAACCAGTGACACTTAAAGTCATCAGGACAAGTTTCTAAAACACTTGTAGAAAAATTTGATATTTAACTTCTTTCTGAAGTTTATCATAACGATTACGCAAGCTTCATGGTTAAACCACCTGGCTTAAAGATCATAACACCGAAACAATTATCCTTCTGATATACAGAATTTACTCCATCATCTTTAGTTAATTTCTTTTACAAATAACTAAACCTAATTGGCCATTTCAGCATTTGACTTTACAGTCGCTTTTTTCGTTTCACTTCAGTGTCTCAATATCACTTTACTTTCTGGGACTAATGAATCAGCCAATGAGCTAAGCCCAAGGCGAGTTACTATTCATAACCCTGTTACTATCATTCCCAGTAGAAGAAGAGGAACAAGATGGTTCGGGCTCGATAGCAGTGTGCCGTTTTATTGGCTTTGAGTCATGCATTGTACAGCTGAACTATATGTTCAAGAAGGACCACAATTCATGGGAATGATGTAAATGATGGCATACATGCATAAAGAAGTAATACATAGTAATTGACCTCATTTAATATACAATTATTTAGCAGTCATAAGTTGTGCGGTATCAAATGAGGAATAAGTATGAAGCTCATTAACTGAGCTGTAACCGATATTACTGAATAAGTCTCAAGTAGTATATCTTTTAAAGTAAATAAAATAGTATGGCCGATAATAGTTTTTCGAGATATGGTATTTCCCTTTCTTCTGTTCGTCACAACGTTTACCACTTGGTTGAATAGGCTGTATTAAAACCACTTTGCATCATTTGGCATCTTCTCTCCTTTGTATTTTTAGCCACCTCTTTGCGATTTTGTACGTGAAAATCCATCATATTCTCTGACCAACGTAATAAATAATTTAAAAGCACCTGAAATGGAAAAGCAGTTGCGTAAAGTCAATTTAGCTATCTCATGGGCTAATAGAAATCAAGACCAATTTCGGATAATATCATTTCAACAAGATTTGAAAGATGCTATAAAGTCAATTGAAGAAGGTAACTTCTCTTCAACAGTGAAGAATCATGTGATGAACAATTTCAATCCTAATATTAAAGTTAATCGACAAAAAGCAGATGAATTAGTCTCATTGTGTCCATCATTAAAGAATAAACAGTACTCCACATTTATTGATAGAAACCTTCAACCCTTGGAGAAGTAAGTTTTAGATCAGTATCCGAATATTCTTTGAGAATGCATTCAAATAAACAATCCTTCCTTTATAGATGCAATATGTCATAACTATGTTCTGAACTTGTTCACAAATACTGATTAATTCTCTAAGTTACGGTAAGAATTTATGGTCATGCTTATCAGCCTGAAGTAGCTACGTAATCATCTTTGTTTTTGAGTCGTAATAGGAGGTAATGATACAATTCAGTTTAGTGGTAACTTTCCTAACCATCTGGTTCTTCGAATTCATCTCTGACAATGACTTTTCATGTGATTAGTTCTGCATATAATGACGATACCCCTGCACGATATTCCTTCCAGGTGACTAGTTATTCGATCTGATGCCTCCCTTGCTTACTTCTAACAAGAGAACACTAAGTATGATACTCGAGTGGCTTTTAACATAACCATAGCTACCACTTAAATAGCCAATTAGTTCTGTGTTTTTTAATAACGAAACTTATTTGGTTGTTTCAGTGGTCGCTAAGGTGAATTTTAAGTCACTACTGATCATCACTGTCCTTTTATTTAGATGGTCTGAGTCTTTTTGCTGTAACAAGCCTTCACTTGATTATATCGGGTGCATCGTTTCCTTTAAAGGCTAGAATGATATAAACTGGCTTTTGCAGAATTGCATAAAAAGTAAGTTTCATTTCAATATTTCCGACACAATTGCTGATGAATCTTACAGAATATCGATTTTTTGATGGGATTTCCTTCAGAAATTCGATTTTTATATTACGTTGTTCTGTCAGAGGAAAACTTCTAGATCTTATATACTCTTCTGTCTTTGATGGCTTTCCGCATATTAATTCTTCACTAGGTAGACATCAAAGAACCTGATCGTAACAATCCCTTGGTGCTCAGAAGTAAAACTGAGATTTAGATGGCGTACGTTGGACTTCCCCAGTATTACTTGTGCCTAAAGTTTATTCTTCTACAAAATGAAAATGCTATTCCCTTATCGGTGATAAACCTGGATCTGCTGCATATATATTGCCTAAGAGGAATGGACTCTAAACTCAAGACAAACATGTCGATAAAGAGTAAGCTCAAAATACTTCACATTACAATGCCATCAGTGTGATGCGATAACTCAATCTTTTCGGCACAATACAAACGTTCTCAACCTCTTTAAAGTGATGGGTACTCGGTTTGAGTTTCAGTGAGGACATCATTACTCACTGGACTCCAGGAAAATACATCTGACGAATCCCACATGGAACGAAACGTGTGTCCTGGGTTCCTCTACTAGTTAACAAGTAAACTACAATAAGAAATCACCAGTTTCAATAACTGGTACATTTTGAAGACAGAAATTTATGCAAGTTGTTTAACTGTTCCGTTTAAGTCAATAATTTTGCGGAATAATTAAAAAGAGTCACGCTTTATGAGACGTCCATGTATATAACTCCAACAATCTGCATAATCATTGAGCCACCATATGATATAATGAGTTTATCACTGACTGTTTATACAGTCCTGTCTTTTGCATTATAACCAACTTCAGATTAAGACTCATTTGACAGTGTCAAAGAAATCCCTCTTCAACTAATCCTCTTCGTTCATCAAAGTTACCAAGTGTCCTTTATCAGAATTTAAAAAAACATCAAAACTGTTTTCGTGCTGGTAGCCAATATAGATAACTGTGGTGTTCTTCGGAAATAGGAAGCTTTCAACTAAACAGTATTGTTCAAAATCAACGTGGAAGATTCACTAAAATCAAATATTATTATCATTCCAAACAGCAGTAAGACTGGCAAGTTAATAGCGACTGACTGAAAAATCAACTCAGAATCTCACACACAAGTACATCGGTTCAAGCTGCCACACGTCATACCAGCATGTAAAAAACAAGTGGGTTAAAGAAGACTGATACCAAAGTACACCAAGATAATTGAGAGTAGAAACAATCTGAAAATAAATGTTACTGCAAATATCGAACCTTTAGAAGATGTCAAGGAGTGAATACACCTGCCCCACTGTGACCAGTTTCCAGCTATGTCACCAACTGTTCTCAACCGATGATTCCTTTCGTCTCTAGAACCCCAACCAAACAGTTAGCCTATGTCACCCCACATGACTCAGATCAACAATCGCCGACCTTATCGACTCGTACCATTTCTTGATCTGACCATCCTGAACTCTCTTTCAACCTAATCCAGCTTCCCCTAGCCTGGGATATCGTGGTAGGTGGTGGTTCGGCATACGCAGTACATATCCAAGCCAGCTCGGTCGATGAAGGTTCACAACCACATCAATCGACTTGTCTGTCTTGCCTAGTACTCTTCACCTGATCTCCACTCTGCTCACACGGTGATTCCACCACAAACGAGCGATGCTACAAAGACATCTGTGATCAAACAACTGTAATCGCCGTCAATCTTCTACCTTTCATGGCTGTGTTACATAGCTATACAGCAGGACAGAAGGGACTATAGCACAGTATATTCGTCCTTTGACAGCTAGTCGGATATCTCGCCGACGCCACAGGTGACACAAGTTAGAAAATGTCAAAGAGGCCTTTTGTATCCTAGCTGGGTTGATAGTACAGCTTCTCAAATCGGTATTCAGCTTTAATCTTATATATTGTCTTTAAAGGAACACACAACTTGAAACCTACACATGTTATTTCAGAATACACTTTTGTGAGAGGTAAATTGTATTATTTATGGACATATTTGAAGTGACTCCGTTTGTTTCTTATTTCCTATTTCACTGACCTTTTTTCAAGATCATATGGACATATTTCGAGAATTCCTGATAATATAAAAATAGAAGACCATTTACAGTACTCAGCAACTTGCTAGTTACTACATGGAGATAATCGACCTTATTAATTACTCAGAGCATAAGTGTGACTAAGATAGTGGCAGCGAATACATAGGTTGTGCGAAAAATTCAGGTATCTACTTGTAGGAGTGAACGCGTGCCTATATGATTAAATGATTGTCAAACAAAGGTTTCAAAAAGCTTTGAAACTAATCATCTGTTAGACTAAAAGCATCCTATAGACTCTATCAGGTCACTGATAGTAATTAGTAACAGTGGACTGCGAATTTGCTTGTAATCAAAAACGCTTATTCAATATGAATCCATAAACTAATCTTTTGGGTGTACAAGCAAATCGGGATTAATCCAAATTTATCTGCGTAACATTTTCAATGCACCGTTTGATTTGATATAGCGCCAACATGATTCTATTTCTTCGGTAGACATCCACCTCACTTTCAACTTGGTTGACTGACAGATCATGAAATCTCAAAAGAACTTCATCTGCAAGTATATCATCAATGAGTAATAGACAATAGTTCCATTGATGACTTTCAAGGATATGTTGATTTGAGGAGTCTAACAACGATAATCGTTTGTTGCAATTTTGTTCTGACAACCACTGGTTTTACGCTATCATTAACTTCAAGCACAAGGACAGACACTGTCTCATATGGCTTCCGACATCTTTAAACCAATGATGGATGCAGATAGGTAGTATCTCTATACGTCATCATTGAAGAGGATCAGTGGGGGATTGCTGCTTGGACTCCGATCACGCACTAGTACGGGCTCGTGTATGTCTGCGCCTTAATGTTCACAGGAAACAGGGAACAGTAAAGCTTGTCTGTATTTAATTGGAAGATGGGACTGTCAAGTACGTATTTATGCAGGAGATAAATATGCATTTATTTGGAAGTGACAGGGATGGTCATCCTGAGGAAACCTGGTGCGATGTTAAGTCTGCTGTAGAAACAGTGGTAAATACGACTGGTAACCTACAAATGAAGGTCAGCAAATGCGAATTTATTTCTGCAACTTCATACGAAAGGATTGGCTCAAGAGAACTGATTCCGTCGGCTGCAACCACAATGAAGAGTGAAAGTAACTTACACATAAATGACGCAGAGTCTTTGCAACAACAGTGAGCAGTTTTGAAGTCCACCGACATCGAACCAACGACAAAACAGAAGTCTGAGTACATCTGGCATGCTTTTCGCACATTTCTAATGTAAGACAATGCTCCACGACCACTCTACAACTATTATAATAATTTTTTTCCCTTGGGTTCCTAGTGGAACATAAGGCTTCAATAGCACGCCTCTATTCACTCTCTTCTCTCCAGTCCCCTCAACCCCGCTCCACGGCTGCCCGCAAGCTTTCATTTCCTCCCCACATCATCTCCTTCATGTCACCCTCGACTCGGATGGCCAACTCGTCGTCTCCCCTTTGGATTCCACTCGAGCATCTGCCTGATGCATGATGTCCCCAGTCGGCTTTCTCAGTGTATGCCCAATCCGTCTCCACTTTCTGCTTCTGCATATTTGTTGGGTGATAGGTTCTTGGTTGGTTCATTCCCAGAGTTCCTTGTTGCTTATTTTTTCTGACCTTCTCATCTGATCATCAGTATCGAGTGAGAGTAGGTGGCAGATGTTGAGGAATTTGTGTAGCTTGTTGGAAATACTTTTCGTAACGTGCCAAGTCTCTCAACCATCACAGAGAAGCACTGACTTGACTGAATTAGTGTTGAAAACCCGGATGTTGTTATTTGTGCTGAGTGCAGTAAATCTCCACACTGATTTCAGATTAGGGAAGGCCTGTCTTGCTGTCTTTCCCATCCTGGCTGACTTTGACATCCTCGTCTGTGCCTGTGCCGCCTGTAGTTGAAACGATGCTGCCTATGTGGGTAGGTGAAAGAGACAACTTCCTTTAGATTTCTCCCGTTAATGGTGACTGGTGTTTGTTGTTGGTGCTGTTGTTGGTTGGGTATCTTCATCACGTCTGTCTTCTCTACGTTCACTTGAATTCCCATCTTCGCCGCCCTGCCTCTTCTGTCAACGTGTTGGTTTTCGCCTGTAGATCTTCGAGTATGTGCGACATTAGACATAAATCATCAGCGAAACCCAAATCTTCTAGGGTTTTTTGATCAGTCCAGCCAGCGTATGCCCCTCTTCTCGCTCCTCACGGTTTGCTGCATGATTCAGTGGACCACAGTCA